CCGAACCTTAACCCTAACATAAACGAACTTCGAAGAATTTTGCTGCGCCATAAACCTGGCACACATTCAAGAAAAGCTACAGGGGGTCCCAAAATTCGGGTTGGAAGTCATCGGAATCCTGATCGGCTGCCGGAATTGATCGATTTTGCTCAAGATAAGGATAAGTGAGTTGTTCTTCCTCTTTTGTCTTTGCATTCATAAAAAATTGCCCGGCGAAAATTTTGCTATAGAGTGTGCTAACTCATATTACTAAATTCCGGCCTAGCTCCGATGCCTTCCGACCCAGAAGTTCGGGGAGATTAATTTCAGGGACTTAATTTTTGGCCAGTGCAACTCCGGGCATGTGCCAACCTCAATCACGACATATAAATAATTTATATTAGTTTAACAATAACTTGTTAAAAACAATTCTTTCGAAATTGTAACTTACGGCAAATAAAAAACCTAATAACCAAAATAATAAAAGCTTAAAATAAATAATTTTAATTAAAAATCTACATATATTAGTTTATATGCCAACCAGGTTCTACGGATTTAATTCTTCAACAATCCATTCCTTTTCTTCATCGTCCAATCTGTAGACCTAAAAAGAATAATAAATTCAATATTGCAGCATGTTAAGCAACCAATAACGCTGCATAATTTATAAACAGATATTTTACGGTTTTTTTGGCTGGGAATACACCATACTCAAATCTAACAACTTCACTAACTTTAAACACTAATAAACAAAAATTATCAAACGCCAAATCATGCAGCACCTTGTCAGGATTATTAGATCCCGAAGCGACATCTAGCATATCGTCTAATTTTAAACATTTAAATGCTTCTTTATCACCTTTGAGCGTTTCACCCGATGGAGGCCATGTATAAATTGCACGATTTTGTGAGGATAACGAAGTCCAGAAGTGTCGCCTTAAGGACTCCCAATATTCTTTAGCCGAAATGGCAATATCAGTGGGTGATTGGTTTGGTATGATGATTTTTGGAGCTGGAAACCGAGTTATTCTTGTAGGTGAGGATGTTATGTAGAATCGGCCTGATAGGTTATAGATTTCTTTGGTTGTTTGCATATGCCTTCAATATTGCGCAGATAAATTTTTATTTTTATTAGACAATCATTAAAATGTATATTTTGCTATATAAATAAGAGGCTTTTTACCAGCTTAGTTGTGCAGTATGATTTGATTTAACATCACCATGTAAGTTGTTATCATTAAAAGCCATTGGAAAAATAAGATATCTAGCATCGTCTTTGAGAAAGTCCAGGAATTTAATGTTGTGTAATGAAGGTTGTCCATTTCTTCGAAGATTCGTCATTTGTATGTAAACTGTAACGAATTTTTTACGCATCAGAATGCATTTCCGTTAAGAAAATCATTTAAAATCCAACGCTTGAAGAAACCTACCGACATTTCGGTAATTTTTTTTATGACTTTGTTGAATTAATTGCGTCCATGGTGTAGTTGTATCTGTCATTTGGACCGAAAATTAATTCGTAAATTTGCGCGGAAGTTAATGAAATTTTCAATGTATTTAAGTAACGCTAATCGATTAACGTTTTAGTTGGTTTCAAATTATAATTACGTATTAAATATTTGTACGTCGTATTTATTGTGTAATACGGAAATATTAGTCCGAAACCGAATAAGTAAATATGTTCAGCATGAATTTCTAAATTTATAATTTCTATAATATTAATAATGTTACTACGTATTCAATTCTCTTCACTGAAAAATGCAATGATTTTGAAATCCTGGGAATATTAATAACAGAAGTAAATGAAAAAATTAAGTATAATTAATTGTTAGTGCTACTTACTAATATTGATTAACCTCCAAGAGACAAGTGTATATTTAGAAAAGGAATGTAATTATGAAAATTTTAACTAATGAATCACATGACTAATTTCTACGTAAGTGCAGCTTTTTAGAGCCAAAGATTTGCCAGTATATATTATAAACTATATGAGTGTCGCTAAAAGAAAACCCGAAAATTTAAATATTAGTCATATTTAAATTTTCGGGTTTCTTTTAGCGACACTCATAATATATTGTGTACCAGTATCGGTATACGTATGCTATGTACGTATTAGCATATACTACATATATACTAGTATACAGGTAAATCAAATCTATATGTAGTCCTATATGAAAATCAATTAGTAAAGATTTTCGTGTAAAATTCATAATAAACTACTGCGGCAACAGTATAGTTTCGATAAAATTTAATATTTTTTTATTATTTTTCGGGTTATGAAAAAAGCTTTCTATTACATCAAAATAAGCTATCCATTGAACTCTCATCGAAATTTCTAAATAGATTAAATATATAGAATGTTGAGAAAATATATGGCGATTTTCTACAAAAAATTGCAAACTTCAAATTATATCTCCTTGACATTCTACATACCAATCTATTTGGAAATTTCGCGTAAAAGCATACGGATAGCAAATTTTAATGAAATAGAGAGCTTTATTTCATAACCTGAAAAATAATTAAATTTTAATCGAAATTATACTGTTGCCGCAGTATTTTATTTTAATACCAGGAACGTAGTAATGAAATTACGAAGTGTATGGTTAACAGACAACTAGGATGGGTTGTGAACAAATTCCGG